ATTCAGGATGATCCTGAGGACGTTTTGTGCTGTCTGGGTAATGAAGGTAAGAAAGTAATATATATTATATAATAGATGAGATAATTTTTTCCGTAATATCAATTAAAAAAAGAAAAAATTTTTTTTCAGAAATATTAAAATTTTTGATTTCTGATGACTTAATTTGTTCTTAAAATAGGAAATTTATATATTGCATTATAAATATCATATTTAATGCATCTCTCGCGCCATCGTATAGATAGGAAAGTATCCCAAATATCCTGAACCATCCTGGACATATTCAGGATGATCCTGAGGACGTTTTGTGCTGTCTGGGAAAGTATCTTCGCAACCGGAAGCGGGCATCGAGTCATATTCAAGACTTACGATACCGCAATACCTACAACCAATGAATGAATGAATATATTCTCAATCGATAATTTCTTTTAAAATGCGAATTCTCCATATGACCTCAATTTCTTCTGCCATTGTGAGAGCGAACTTTTGCCGCAATTGTCACTTCTGATGGACGTAATCGCGGAATCGGAGCGCGCACGCGAAAATACAAGAGTGATACCTCAACAGCGGCGATTTAGATTCTCCTCGCGATCACCAGGCGTCGCCAACGGTAATGGCGTCCGGTCGATAATACGATAGAGGAGGCGCTTTCTCGACTCTCGCGAAAGTCGGAGTATCGAAGTAGTGGAAGTATACGATACGGGGTCCACGACGTATCACGGATCACGGAGCGAGCTGGCAGTTTTTCCTTCGCGCAGCGAGACTGGAAAATCGTCCGGAGACCGGGGACGAGAACGCGCCGATAGAGACGCGACGCGAGACGCGAGTGAGCGAGCGATAATAATGTCGCGTTGGATCGCGCGACGACGACGGGCCGCGTAATCAATCGCGGTAGATTTTCCCGCGACAGCAGCGTCGTCCGAACATGCGTGCGGTGCGGAACGACGGGCACCGAGCGACAACCGAGGAGGCTCCTTCGAGGAACTGTCAGGGGGATCGTCGCCACCACCATCGCCGCCGACGCCGCCACCACCGCCGTTACGCGTGAGTCAGTGCGAGATCGGACGGAGGCGACGCGCACGCAAAATGGCTTCGGGCGACAATGTGGACGTGATCGAAGTGGTCGAGACGACGAGCTTCCCCGGGTCGGCGACGCAGCCCGCGGTGGATCATCTCAGGCCGGACCAGTCCACCGCCGAGGAAGACTGTGAGTGCTCCCATCTCGCTCTCCCCTTTCCGTTCCCCCTTCTGCGTGTCTCCCGATACTCTCGTTCCAGCGCCGTGACCCTAACCTATAACGCGACCACGAATGCGCCGCGTCGGATATGTCGTCGTTCCTTGCCCGAGAACGATTTGTTCGCATAATCGGACGGAATACTCTTACTCGCCGTGTCTTATCGATCCGCGGAATCGGATCTTCGTGCACGAGCGTGGCCGATCGAAGAACGCGGCTAATCCGTTGTCTCGCGATCTGACAGCTCTCTAATGGGTGTCACCCGACCTAGAAAGCGCAAACACGTTGGAATCCGTGTCGTCGTTCGGCGAGGAACGCTGGTCTCCAGTTAAAACGCACACCGTGGATATTGTGAATCGAAATAAATTCTCCCTGTGCTCCGATTTGCGGAGCGATCGATCGATTTTTGACAGTTTTCCTATTATCTCGATATAATCTGTAAAATATCCAGTAGAGGATATTTTTAATGCATTTTAGTTCGCGAGATGGAAAATCCATCGTGCGTAAATAGACACGTAGCGATTTCTTGTAGATTGATGGTTCGCGGATTTGACAGCTGATAATGATTATCGATTATAATGTCGACTTTTTCGCTTCGTGGCTTTCGAGAAATTTTAAACACTACCTAATTCGACATATACTTCGTTAAAATTATCGCGTCACCGTTAAAAAAGCCTGATGACATAAAAATGGACAATGCAGCCGAGAAATTCGTGTCGTAATGATGGTTTGTCATCAAAATAAAAGTTATTTTTTAACATATATGTGTATGTATATACATATATATATAGGTCTAGGACACCCTGTGTATATATATATATATATATATATATACATATATATATTAATTATACATGCATACATATCGCTACGTAGCATACACATATAGAATGAAACATCTTCGTTACTCTGGAATATTTTTTCTGGAATACAATGTATTCTATATATAACATACTTTCTTTTCTTACTATTCTGCATACACACACACACACACACACACATTATGTAATTAAGAAAGTCTATATTTCACATTGAAAAAAAGTTATAGAGTTTCCTGAAAATAAAATCCAATTCTCTTTTATAAAAATATATGAACATATATAAGAAATCCCTCAATTTTATTTTAGAGATCCTGCTTTAACAGAATTGTATTTAAATATTAAATGCATAGTTATCAAAATATAAAATATTTAAGAGACGGTTTCTCGAGAAAATTTTTCCCCGAAACGAGATCACTTCCCGATTCTTTAGAGAATACGCTATTAGTGTTTTATGCAAAGCTCACGGAATTCCCATATGTTCATGAAATTTTAATATGAGTCAGAACAGAGCAAGAGGAAAACAAGGACAAGTTTGAATTTCAAAGTCATCGACCGAACATAAGCGATCATTCGTTTCGTCTTGCGTTTCATCTCCCATCGTAAATTCCGTACGAACATTGATTTCATTGCGTTTAATGTATACGTGACAATGCAACGAGCGTAATGATGGCGTTTGCGTTTGTGTGACTCGACGCATTGCGATTTGTTTGCCGCGATTCCAACTTGACAACTTGTGCCATTTGACAGCTGATATCAGGTGAAGGGAGGGGAGGGGGGGGGGGGGCAGAACAGCACGTGGAAACGGATTCTGAAATTCGCGTGGGCTCCGCCGTGATCGCGATATCGAGATAACGTCGTCGTTATCAGATCCGTGTCGCGAATTGACGTGTCTCTCTCTTTCTCGTAGGAACTGACTTTTTTCTATTATAGAAAATAATAATATAGAGAAAAGTAGAACGCGTGTGTTGAAACGCGACTCTATGTATCTGAACTGTTTCCTTTGTTCGAAAGATAGCGGTTTCCGTCTCTTGTCGAGCGAAAGCTTTTTTACCGTTTAGAGAATCTTTCCGCGCTATTATTCAGCATTTATTGTATTTGTATACGTCATATTTATATGTGAATAAGGAATTATATATAATATATAGCTTAGATTATATTTATTTACTATGTTCTCTCTATTTGGATGGAAGAAATTATCAGTCAGTCTTGTATTTTAATCTCGAATTTGTTTAAATTATAAAACATCGTATTACATATTCAGTGAATTTAGTTTTTTCACACTTCCGTCTAGATATGTCAATTCGAATAAATGTAATTGTAAACAGCATATATATGTTCAAATTTCTTTGTTCTTCATATTCTTGAACGTTGTATTACGTATAATATTATTCGAAATATATTATCTTTCTCTGAGTTTTTAACTAAATTAAACTGAGAGAAATTATGAATAAAAGAATATTCTTCATTTTACTGAAGAATGTTTTAATTGACTCAAGGATACAAGTCTTAGTAAATGGTATTTACGTAACGTAATTTATTTTGCTTAGCTGGAAGGAAAATAGTTTCACACGTTTTTTTTTTTTTCGAGTCATGTGAAAAAAAAGATTATAATACAGACTCTTTTATATAGATGTATAAAATCCACGTGTTATTTTTATTATGCATAACTTTTTAACAATTCATTAACGATGTTTCGATAATGATGCTTTCATTGGCATCGCTTCGTGTTTTCGTTGTTGGAAAAACATTTCTCAACCGAACAGAGAGCGCGGTATGCGTTAGAGTCGAGTAATGAAAGATGAGAGTTAAAAATAGAAGGCTAAGTAAGGACATCTTGACTCGCCTTGCTCCCTTATTCTACAGGCTGTCATCCTAGGGACCCTTTTTTCACTCGATATTGCGAATCGCGCCATTTCCC